CTCAAGTGATGTACAACTTATAATGCTGCAAGTAGTAGTTAGACATGGTTCAAAGGACAATAAAACAATAAAATTTAATTATAAATAGATGTATACTGTTACGAGTTTAAACCTAAAGATAAATGGATATAGTTTCACGCTACATTTGAAGTCATTCTAGAAAGAAAAGGAGGGTAATTTAGATTTATTTTGATTTGTCTGTGAGGGGGGGATCAGGTCAGTCAAATTGACCTACCTTGTATAGAGTTAGGGTAGATAAAATAACAGATGAAATATGAAGTTTTATTGAAAACAAGCATTTGAAATGTATTTAGGAGGTTTTAGAGATTACACAAATGAAATTTCAGATTTTTGAGGTGAAGAAAAGTATTTTTGATCTTAACATGAAATTCACTTTGCACACGGACTAGTAAAAACAAATAAACAATATATTCATGGACAAATCTATATTTTAGTTTATTAAAAATACTTCATTAAAAAGTATGATTTTTTGCATGTGAAAGACTTGTAATGTTAACAGAAAGACTGCCAAATTTTTTGAAGATATACCCACTATATTGAAAGTTAGAAGTATTAAATCAGTAACGATTTCAAACAAGTACAAAAAGGTCACGTGGTCAGTCAATTTGACCCAGCCCATGTCAGGAGAGTTAATCAGAATTAGGTTTTCGATTATTTCAAATATTGCTATTATGTTTGTTTGATGTTAAGAGCAGTTACAAAATTGGTGGATATGGGTTTTTTTCATGATCTGAAGGTCTAGGGTTTGATTTCCTAATGCCATTAAATTTACTTGTACTATCTTTGTTATTGCAAAGCTGCTAAGGCTATCTGCTACTGTCACAAGTTAGTTTTGAGCTACTAACTACAGGGAAGGTAACTGGCTGGTAGCACACACACCACCAAACCTCTGGCTACTTAAGTATTAAGTAAAGTGTAAATTTAATGTTTTATTACATTGTGTTATGTTTCTAACTTATAATTATGTACCTGCATTCTTTAATGTTATAAAAGCAGGCACAGATCTGGAGAGGGGCAAAAAAGAGTACAGACCCCTCTACATTATTGTTTCAGATATTAATAACTGTATTCTTTAATGTTCTATAAACAGATGTGACCTAGTGGATGGGTCCTGAGGGATAAAACCACACATTTCTTTCAGAAATTAATAACTGGAGTATTCACTGTGGTGTAAGTAAATACAAATCTGAGGAGTCTGAGGTTCCTTCATTTTTTCAGAAGCTAATAAAAAAAAACAGCCATATAATATCTAAAAGAAATACTAGATGTCAGTGTGTTTATTTGTTTGATCTATTTATTACCATAAAAGTTTTTCTTTCAGTTTTTCTGAAATCAATACAGCTTTATCTGCTATTTTCTCTACCATATCTCAAAATGCAATTGGTCAATCCGACAGACCTTGTAACTACCAAAAAAAAAATCGATATAAACCTAAATTAAGTTTTTTCTTTCTAGAATGACTTCAAATTGTAACATGAAACTACATTCGTTTATCCTAAGTAGCTCTAAGTTCCTGACAATATACATCTATTTATAATTAAATTTTATTGTTCTATTGCCCTTTGAACCGTGTCTAACTACTATCCTCACCATTAGAAGTTGTAAATCACTTGTGAAGGTGCAGCTCGCGTGTGTGCCTTGTGAAACATTGTTATTATAATATTATTATTATTTATTTTACCTAATACATTTTCTCTTAGCATCTCATCATCCTTATTTTATACACCACCCATTGAAAAAGTACAAAATTAAACGTAAATTACTCGCTTTAAAATCGTTGTTGCTCAGGCAAACTATAAATTTTAAAGTATTCAAATTTGTTTGGTTAGAGAGCTATCAAATACTAAATCAGACCCCTCTTGCCACATCCACCGGTCACATCATCTCTTTCAGAATTTGTTCATAGTTCTCTCTTATGTTTCATTATATATTACCTATAACCAATACAAAGTCAAGGTTTTCATCTATCAAATGACGTATTGTATAACGTTATGTTCTGAACAGTTGGATGTTAATTTCACTCAGAGTACCAACATCGTTCCCATAGGAAAGATAACGACTACCTTGGATGAATTTGTAACGGCTCTTGTCGCATAGTTAGAAAGCCAGAAAAATTTTGAGAAGTAAGGGAATTTGTTTACTTTTTGCATGTTATCAGTCTATATTCTTTGGTGCATTATTTAATTAGATAAAAATTATTAAGTGCATTACTATCGTCACTATAAAAAATTGGGGTTAACTCTCCTCAAAAAGTGATAGCAAGAAAAAAGAAGATTGGTTAAGTATTATATTTCTTGTTTTTCATGTAAATTCTTCATGTATTATTAAAAAAGTAACTAAAATGTAAAAATAGGGATCCTTCTAGGTTTGTTAAAATTAGGTCACACTAGTGGAAATTCAGGATTTTTTCAAATAGTGCCTTGTAGAATTAAGAACTTAAAACTTGTATACTATCAAAATATGGATTATTAGCTAAGATTTCTTGCTATTCTAATTGGTATAACATAAACAAAAAGTAGTTTAATAATATTTTGAATGTAAGACACTAAAACATTGTGCTATGTGCAGTAAAGGATACCTGTGGCAATAGGGTTAAGGTAAATATTTGTATTTTATTTTTTATTTTCTGTACTATATCACTAACTTTGTATTACCATCAACATACAGTGCAATGAAATGTTTAAAATTAACAAATGGAAATATGTACATACCTTTCAACTCTTCATAGAAAGCCACTAGAATAGTCTTATTTTTTTATATGTGCCTTTATCTTTTCACTTATAGTTTATTTTAATTTTCCTTTCAAATTCTTCATCTTTCATTTATCCCGATACATCAATTTATGCCAGCAAGGCTTTATAAAGTTATTTTGGCAGATTCCCTGCAGAGATGCATTGCCTAAACACGATGAAGTTTATACACGCTGTGTTGTTTATAACCTTTCACAATCCAGGTGACAAGTAAAATGTATGAAAATCATTAAGCTGTTCAAGTATGATCTTTAAAACAAACATGATACATAATTAACTAAAATATAAAAGACCTAAATACAATTTAATTGTCTTTCTAACTATAACATATTTAGGTAAAACTACCGTAAGTGCTATAGTCAGTCAAGCAGACAACAATACTAAAGACAGTAAAATATACACCATGAGTAAAACTGCACGCCAATTTCAAATTATCCATTGGTGCTGTAGTGGTGTCAATATTTCAAACACGCATACACTAGCATTTAGATACTTGTGTACATTGTCAGCTTATGTGGATAAGAGTGAACCGCTGCTAAATTTGAGATTTCTCATAGCACGTAACATGAAAACTGCAGTTTATTTTATTTTTTAAGCATTTCCTTTAAAACAAAGGAATTAAAACTTAGATAAGATAAAAATTCAAACTATAACATGCATTATAATGTTAATTTGACTGACATATATTGATAGTAATGTTATTTAAATAAATTTTGAATGTAACATAGTAAGTACTGCATGCAGAAAGGACTTTAAAAATGGTGGCAGGTGCCATAGGGTTAACTCACCATATAGTAACTTAAATTCATTTTGATATGTTAATGATAATATAAAGTAAACAATTGCTTAATTATTATATTAGAGATTTTTTTGTTAAAGGTAAAATTAAAAATAAAATCTTTGATGTAGAGGCCTAATGCAGACCTGAAGAAGAAATAATTTGAGTTATGGAATGGCTCAAGACTTATCAAGATTGTTATGTTTCATATGCTTGCTGGCTAGATTGATATCATAAAGCAATTCGTGTCATCCACAAGACTAGACTTTGAAATTTAGCATCTTAGTAATGATTGCTTTCATGTTAGAATACAACTTTATATCACCAGTTCATTTGAGGGTGTTACATTCTGCAGTGGAGACAAAAGTGTTGTAGACTTCTCAGCTGGCATTGTAGAACAAGAACTGGATCAATTCTACTTCCCATCTCTTGTCATTCAGTGGCTTCATGGGTAACTGAGAAATGTATCAATTCTACTTCCTATCTCTTGTCATTCAGTGGCTTCATAGGTAACTGAGAAATGTATCAATTCCATTTTCTTACTTCTTGTCATTCAGTGGCTTCATAGGTAACTGAAAGATGTATCAATTCTACTTCTATCTCTTGTCATTCAGTGGCTTCATAGGTAACTGAGAAATGTATCAATTCCATTTTCTTACTTCTTGTCATTCAGTGGCTTCATAGGTAACTGAGAAATGTATCAATTCTACTTCCTATCTCTTGTCATTCAGTAGCTTCACAGGTAACTGAGAAATGTATCAATTCTACTTCCTATCTCTTGTCATTCAGTGGCTTCATAGGTAACTTAGAAATGTATCAGTACTTTCCATTGATGAGTTAAGCTGAGAAATCCATGTATATGCTGTCAGTCAAGCTGAAAAACATCTCTACCTTAGCATAATTGACTTTTTTTTTAATATGTCACATTGACAAAACTTGAGAATAGCTGCCAGTTGGTTTCCAAAATTTGCCACAGTTGCCTAGTTTCCAGGAGTTTCTTTAATAGTTTTTTTATTTTTTATGTGATTTCTGAAAATAAAAAAAGAACTTTTCCTTAAATATATGTACATACAGATATGTATATATACATATATATATAGAAAGAAAGAGAGAAAGAGAAAGAAAGGAACTGAGTATTCTGCCCTTTTCCCATTAGTTAACAGCAACAAATGTGCTCAGTAAGGTAAGACTTAAGAAAAGAGGTGATGTTATAAACATTCAGTGAGTTTGGCAAGTGAATTCATAAGTATTTTTTTTTGTTTTGTTTTGTTTTGCAGCCCTTATGTTTTGTTATTAGAGACATTGGCTACTTTATCTATCTGATAATACTAGTCCTACCAGTACTCTGGAGTTTCTGGATTATTGCACACATTGTGTTTTTTTTTCCTTTTAAAAACTATTTTGTACTTTGCTTCTAGTCTCTTAAGTGTGTTCCTTTTCTTTTCTTATAGGCCTTCTGGATTTGCAGCCACTTCCCGTGGAAGCTCTTAATGATGCTAAACTAGAAGATCTTTATAACTTCTCCCATTTCAACTCAATTCAGACACAACTTTTTCATACATTGTATTACACGGACAATAATGTGCTTCTTGGAGCACCCACTGGCTCAGGGAAAACCATTGCAGCTGAAATTGCAATGTTTAGACTTTTCAGGGAATATCCTGGAAGTAAGGTTGGTAATAATAATAATATGTATTTTACTTGTTAGTGTTTAGAATTTATCAGTTATTGTTCATTTGTGAGAAATGGTCTGAAGGAGTTTTTTTCATAATAATACAAATATTGCTTTATGTTTAATGTGGTAATGGAATTTTGAAAAAATTGTTTTATATATTTTTAATAGTCATTTCAAGATTAGTAGAGTGAATTTCATAGCACAGTATCACATTCCATGTTGTCTTTGTTATAGTTTTAGGAGTTTTACTTAGAAGTAAGATTGCAGAAGAAAAGATGGTATAAGTGTATATAGTGGGTTTTTTCTTTTTTGTGTGTGTCAAATGTTTATGGAGTAGGTTTTGCACTGTTTAATGTACAATATTTTCTAGGTGGTTTATATTGCTCCACTAAAGGCTCTTGTAAGAGAGAGAATTAAAGACTGGAAGGTCAGACTTGAAGAGAAAATAAATAAAAAGTGAGTGATGTTTAGTATGCAGTTTGTTTTTGGAGTATCCATGTGTTACCCTAGTTTTCATTGATTAAGGAGAAAGCCTAACATCACAAAATAAAGAAGATGCTATAACTTCAATAATCAAAAAAAGAAAATTTTACTCAAATCTGTGTATGGTTGGAATCCTATCAAGGTGGCTCAGCAATAAGTCTACAGGCTTATGACACAAAAATTGGGTTTTAGTACATATGAAGAGCAGAGCACATTGTGTAGTTTTGTGCTTAACAACAACTTATTCCAAACCACTATCGAATTCACTACCAAACTTTTAAATTTAACTGGAGAAAAAGCTTTAACCACAGCCATCTCCAAACCCTTAAGTTGGTTGAGACATGTCAAAAGATATTCTGTAACTTGAACTCAGATACAGAAAAAGTTTATCAAACCACCTCAATGACAAACATTTAAATATTGCATTTTAAAGTCTAAAATAAAGAGAATTCCTCCATAAGCTTTTTAAACATTTATATCGTAAGAAAGCAATCAGATTTAAAACTAAAATTCATAAAAAAAGCAACACACTCAGAACAATACCTTAACTTGTTCCATATGGGCTCGGTCATTTTGATCAACCTTGTAACTGCCAGGTATCTATGAAAGTATCCACCCTATAACTTTTGATATGGTACATATAACTTCATAAACTTTGGCAATCCTTTTTTTTTTTTTTTACTAAAAACTCAATTTTTAAATGAGTGTTTAATAAAGATTTGCCTGTGAGTAAAAGGAGTGACAATCTTGACTAGTTCGAGTGCAAGGTGATTTTCATGTTAAGAGTAGAGATATTTGTATTCATCTTACAGTTTTCAAATTTTGAATGCATAACTTCTAAACCTCCTAAATGAATATCAGATTTTTTTTATCAGTAAAACTTTATATTTTATCTGTTACTTCCTTTAATTCTATACAAATTAAGTTGATTTGATAGACCCTGTAACCACCATAAAAATTATATGAAATAAGTCTAAATTCTCTTTTTTTTTTCTAGAATGACTGCATATTGTAACAAAAAAAACAAAATTATTCATCCTAAATAGCTTATGACAAGTAACAGTCTGCATCTGTTTAAACTTAATTTTAATTTTTATTATGCTTTGAACCATGTCTAACTAATAATCCTGCCAAACAAGTTGTAAGTCACCTAGTGAACATGTAGATCAAGTTACCACATCAAATTACATATCAAACATTCTACTCACTAATATGCAGTGAATAAATGTCACAATTTGAATACAAAGAGAGATTGGGATTTTATTCAAATATTTCCTTTTAAACTTAAAAAATGAAAACCTAGATAATATTAAAAGTTGTAGTATTAACTATGTTTTAGTGCCAGGTTTATTTGTGGAAGTTTATGATAAGTAGTCTAATTTTGAATGTAATTGTGTAAACGTTTGCACATATAGCAAGAGGGTTAATTGAAAATATGCATACTCTATACAACAGAAACTAGAAAACTTGGAGTGTTCTATGCAAATAGTTGTTACGTCTCTGGTCGTTTGTTAATTTCTGGTATAAATTCTTCCCGAGAAACTTCTGCGATACAAGTCCTTTCTTAAATAAAACTAGTTGATTCTTTCTCAATACAACTTTGCAATATACAGAATTTCCATGATCACTTTAACTTAAACACACGCTATAATTCACAATGATTCACACACTTTACTTATGGTTACTACTGCTCACTTGACTCAATTATCTGTCTATCTGCAATTATTATCTCTGCTTTATTTGCTGGGCTTATATATTAAAATAGAGGGCATCTGGCAAACACTCGAGCCTTCATGATCCTTCTAGAAACTCATCACGTGTTACCAGCATCACTTGACTTCCGCTGTTGTGACAGTGTCCCTTCCTTAGTATTGTTCGTCCCAAACAATAGCCACTTACATTAAACCAATAGATAATTAACAATAACTTGATTAAATGTACAGAATTTACAAATACAAAATTAAAATTCAACAAAGTATTTTAATTTTACGGGCCATATCTTCTTCTTTACTGGTCTCTGTCTCGTTGGCTTCTGCTTCACGTGGGATTCATCTGCTCCATCAGGAAATGTCCTATTATCGGTAACAGTCACATCAGTGGTAGTATCTTCATTAAGGGCTTCAATGTTTCCCATCTCAAAACCGGGTAGAGTTTCTTCAGTTTCGACAGTGGCTTTTTCAGGTGACACTTCTTCAGCAGCATCATTTGTTCCGTTGTTCACGTCGTTCCAACTGAAATGTCCTGGACCGTGATAACGCCAAAGCCTGTTGGCATGCACCACCTTTGGCTTACCTCGCTGACAACATTTTATTCGGAAAGTCACGTCTGAGAGATGATCCACTATGTCATATGGGCCTTCCCATGTAGAAGACAACTTAGGAGACTTCCTTTAGGTCTTCCTGGGATTATACAAACACACCTTGTCTCCTGGTACAAAGCTGACTTCAGTAGATCTCTTATCATAACATGACTTATTGGTAGTATTCTTCTTACACTGGCTCCTCATATGTCCTTGCTATCCACAGTTCCAACAACCTTTTTGGGTAACAGCCTTCCCTGCCATGGCATCTTTCCTGTGTTTAAGTTTCCAGCATTGAGCTTTCTTGTGCCCAGGTTTGTTACAGTGCCAGCAAAGTCCCTCAAACCTCTCTAAAAGCTGACC